TGCCCCCATCATTTTCTATTATGAATGTAGTACAGGATTCCGAAGCTGGTCAGTTCATTTGATATAATTGGAACTACTAACAAGTTGCGAAAGCAATACCTATGTTTTGTTCTGGAATAGTAGATACTTCTCAGAACCAGACAATTAAGATGGCGACTTTCATGGGCATTCAGTAGAATGAAACCACAAAACTAGAAAGTTCTAAAAAAGTGAGATCTGCGTTAATTTGCGAGTTTTTGAGGCTCGACGTTGAACAATCTCACGCTTGAATCCCTTATTCGTGTTAATAGGTTCAGGTTTCGAGTGGTGCTCCTTCGTAGCGACTTTCCTGTCGAATTTGAAACCCTCCAAGAAAATGTATATATTTTCCGAGCGAGTAAGTTAGGAGAACAGTTTATTTGCCTGACTGAGTTCACAAGTTTCTCTTCATCTACCTTTTTTAGAGGAGTTCGTGAGCAGAGAGGAGATTTTGTAATAGTTATTTAACTCTCCAGCTATTCCGCGGGAAACTATTGGGTTGTCTCAAAGGTTCGTGCACTTGAATTAGGTCAGCTACGCTCTCGAATCGAAGCGAATCTAAACAAGACGACCCGCTTCCGGTGAACAGAGGTCTCCGTCTCTTCGGGAGAATTTTTCGAGGGTTGACAAATGGATTTCTCATTCGTTAACCAGCTCCCAGAAGTGGAGAACTGCGTACAACTTCTATCCCGCTCCGAGCGGACAGGTTGGGCAGTATTTCCAGTGGAGTTAAAAAAGGTTGCAGTTATGTGAATCTCAGGCGCAAGCATCAGTGGCTGGATCCATCAGAAGGGGCTGAACAAGCTATGAGATCATTTTTGATCAATTAGAAGGTTTGCTGTCCGTCGGGTGGGGCTTTTGATGAGTGTATCCCAAAGAGTTCTTCCTTTCGCCATAGTTACGAGCGGGGTCTGCAGTAGTCAGCTACGAACGTTGGAGGAAAAACTCCAGCTAATTTCCTAGGAACTCGGCAAAATAGTCCACTAAGCAAGCTTCGACCCATCGAACCTAGGAGTCCAGCTTCTCTTTGATGTACTCTCTTTCGGCTCGATGCAGCTTCCATAACCGAATTCTCCGTTTCGTTCCTGCCCTTGATTTCTTGAGAAGATCGAAGACTATGCCTGCTAGGATAGGCCGCCCTTGATTTCTTGAGAAGATCGAAGGCTATGCCTGCTAGGCCTGTGCTATAGAGCCAGATTTTCTTCAGGCAATACTCATAGATCCTTCCCACTTCTGAGGGATGAACTTCTGACGAGTACGTGGCCTATTTCTGTTTCTTTTTATCCACTGCTGGGATATCTTCAGAACTTTGCTTTTCACGGAGGAAATGCTGTATACTGCCAAGTTGTGGGCTGTGGTCAGGTCTAGCACCTTTTCACATTCTTCACTCCTGACTCCTATTCTCTTTCTTCCGTGGATCCTTCCAAAGCTCCTTCGTTCACTTCCAACTTGGCCGTCAAAATCACCCGCTACTCTGAGATAACCCTTTTACGGAACTGATTAGATGACCTCGTCTAGGCTCAGATAGAACTCATTCTTCTCCTACACGGGGTGGGCGGAACCACCTTTTTTGTCTATCTTTACAGAATTATTGGACTGCTGATCCTGTTATGGCGTAAAAAGAGCCTTTGAGAAACTTCGCCTTTGCTACGGCCACACCATCTCGTTTGATGTCTTCTCCGTTGAAGAAGATTTTCTGCGCTTTATAGATCAACGACATCCCGGGGCCTCCTTGTGAGCTGTCCTATGTTCGGAATCCCAATTCAAACTAACTTCTTCGACCGAGGTCGTTTACTCCTAGGTAGCCTTCACATACTTTCCACAGGGCTCGTACTGGAATCCTGCGCGCCACCTCCGGGTGACGTCCTAGCTTTATTATAGATACCTTTCGAGACTTCAGACATGATTGTTGCGATTTGGTTTCTCCATATCCGGTCGTCCTGTCAACCTGGGCCTGACCCTGGTACCGATACCATTTTTGCATTTTTGCAATGCATGGCTTTCCCTCGACGTGGATCGAGCTCGCGCTCTTCCTAAGTGCAGAGATGAGTCTACACTCTTATTCACTTGGCTATCCCTTCAATAAGTTAGTGACCGTATTAAGAGTGAAATTGCAAATTTTGGTTCAAGGCATCCTTGCGACGAGGAAGGTACACTTGGTTGAACCTGTGAAACAGCGGAAACAATATAATACTAATACCATTATTATTATTATATATAAACAGTATGAAGAGACGAATCAAGAAATGCTGTGTCCATCTTAAGGTTGTTCAGCAGTTTTTTTCCTTACAGAGGGCATGGATGGAAATTCTCGAGGAAGCTGACTCGATATCTGTTCAGCATATTCGTGTCAAAGATCGTCTAGTGGATGAGGTAATCAGGAGTTTCATCATTGCCGTGCTCTTCTTTTTTCAATTTTTCTTTCCAACTTCATTAAACTAAGTTGTTTAGGTGCTGAAAACATTGGCGCTCTACCGAAAAGACAATTTCCATCCATCGGCACTTCGGGCACCAAAAGAGCTTCGAGAGGCTGAAGAAGGCTTTGAGAGGGTAAGTTTCAGGAAGTTCATGGAAAATGCAAAGCCGACTTATCGTGTATGTGTGTATGTATGCGCATGTTTATGTGTGTGTGTTATTTTATGTATGTGTATTGTGTGTATGTGTTCGGGTGTATATATGTGCTTGTGCATGTATGTGTGTAAATAAGTATGCGTGTGGTGTGTGTGGCATGATATCTGATGATGAGGACTTCGCTCTTCTTGTCTGCAGTGAAATCTTTACGCTCTGGAGGGTGATATGGGATGAAGCGGAAGCGGAGATGCTCGGTGACAAAGACTGACTACGGCAGATGAGGGCTGATAAGTGCGGTAGAAAGTTTATTTGATTCCCACCCCTATTTTAATTGCAATGCAACCTTGATATTTTTTGTTTCACAAAAGATATGAGATGGTAGAGTATCTCTTGCCGTCCCGCTGATCATCGATTTTTTTCGGGCGCCAGTAACGACTTCGCTCTTGTCGCGAGCCAGAGTGATCCAAAGAATTATCCTTGCCCGAAGACACGAGACATAGCGTTCCATTCGTTTAGAGCTTCTGCGAGAAGTTTGACCGTCACGTTGGCGGCCGTTACGTTTGGTGACTCAAGAGAAATCAGTCAGTAATCTTCCTGATCCAACATTTATATATCGCATAACGTGCGCGGCCCCACTGTTCTTCATCTTCTTGATGTAATCATTGGCATCCCTGATCTTCGTTCGTTGACGGAGCTCGGAGCTCTGGATTCCCTTCTGCACTTGTGTGTATGGAGAAATTCCGATCATCATTCTTTCCACAGCACGTTGAATGACGCTGCTTCATGCTCATCTGCTTTCGTTGAGTTTAAGTCTCTGAGGCGTATGTCAAAGCAGGAAGGATGGCTGTATCGAAGAGGTGAGCGCGGAGCCAAACGCTTTTTTTGTCTTCTTCACTACTTCCTCAATGTTTTTATCTGCTCCCCACTTCGCGCCTTTCCTTCAGCTCCGGTGTTGGATCATTCATCATGTTGACTTCTCGACCTAGGAACAAGTACCTACACCATTCGAAAATATTCGTACCGTACAGCGTAAAAGGAGCATCAGGTACCAACCGAACATCGCTTCGTTCGGTCCACTCGTAAGCCGATCATTCTAGAAGCGTTGTCGAATTCGGACAGCATTTGATGTGGTTCCATCGACCGATCATATGTCAGAAGAGTTGCCGAGGCGAAACAGATTGTGCTAT